GGTTGCGCGGTGTTGCGCGGTCTCCGGCACTTGCTGAGGTCTGGGTTTCGGAAAAAACATAGCAGAGGCCTCGAGCAGCACTTGGTTGACCTCGTCGGGCGTGTGGTACCTGGAAGATAGGCGCTGGCTCACCCAAGCCTGCATACGGTCAGCAATGGGCAGGCCAGAGCGAACTGCTGTTTCCAGGGCCTCCTTATTGTAGGTCAGGGAGGGGCTGGAAGGTTTGGGCAAATTCCAGTGCTGGGTGGGGCGGAGCTGAGCGAATACAGGCATATGACCTCCGCGTTTCCACCGTCCAAGTTGCAGGTCCTGTCGTGGCCCAGCACGTTTGGCCATACCTTTCGCTGAGGCCTCAGAAGTCAGCAAGAAATCAATCTGTGAGCCCTTGCCGTTCAGGAAGAAAGTGTGTCCAGTGCCGCAGGACCAAGTGTTGAGCGCTACCAGTCTGTGAGATGAAACCAAGGCCTGGAACTGCTCGTCCTGCATTTGAGAGTGCTCTGGCTTAGTGCTGCACCGACCTACCAGACCCTCTTGCGGGGTCAAGCGTGCGTTGAAGTCACCTGCCAGCAGAAATGTGTCCCTCGCCGGAACAGCTCTGATGGATGAGGACAGGTCACGTAGCAGGCGCGAGCGATCTTCCTTGTTTTGTTGAGGAGTCTTCTTAGAAGACCACGCATGTTGATAGACCGCAAAGACATGAATTCGAGCTCCCAGCCACGGAAAGGTGACTTGAATGAGTCGGCCTCGGCGCTGTTCGCGCCATCTAATCTTTTTCTTGTCTATCAAGGGGGAAAGGAGGACCATAACCCCATCTGCACGACCAGTGTCATGTATCGCCGGCTGCGATGCAGCACTTCGCGCTGAGCGTTGCCCTGAAGTTGATTTGGCTTTGGGTGCCCGGGCAGCGCCCTTGGTGGCAGAGCTTATGCAGTGCCAACCCTCAACGTCAAACTCTGCTGTTTCGCTCCAGTGCGTCTCCTGCAGGACTAAAATATCACAGACATATTGGGCCTCGGTTCGTAGCCATGTCTTCACTTCTGCCCATTGCTGGATGCCAAGGTGCCCAGCGTTCCATGAGAGGACACGGAGCGACTTACTGGCTCGTCCACCTCGCGGACGTGAGCGGAAGCTGTCTGTGCGGCCTGAGGGAGCCGAAGGATCCGTGGAACTAGGCTGTACAGGAAGGAGGGGAGGGGAGGGGGGGCTAAGTCCACTGCGACGCAGATGCTCAGGCGTCAGCACGCCGCTTCTATACTGGATGCTTTCCTGTGTTCTGTGTACCCTATTGCAAGCCTTTCGAAAGGCCTTCTTGCGAATGCTCTCAAAGGAATGCTGGTGCATTGGCGTTGGCGCCGTCCGCTAGTTTCGCCGGAAAGAGAGAACTCGATCCGACTCCCTTCACCTCGCGGATAGGTGAAAACCACTACCGCTTACCTCTTGCCCATGTTGTGTAACTGCAGACAGAGGCCCGGGAATTGGGACCCGGTAGATCACAGCGACACGTGGCTCCAGGGATGGCTATGGCTCAGAAAGAGGACAGTCCCTTAAGCTTCGCAGAAGGGGGCCGTTGCGAGCCTCTAGCGTTGGTACCCGGAGCCCTGTTAGCAGTGCTATACAGCCTGCTGTGATCCATAGCGGCTACAAACAACAACAACAACAACAACAACAACAACAACAACAACAACAACAACAACAATCAACAACAACAACAACAACAACAACAACAACAACAACAACAACAACAACAACAACAACAACAACAACAACAACAACAACAACAACAACAACAACAACAACAACAACAACAACAACAACAACAACAACAACAACAACAACAACAACAACAACAACAACAACAACAACAACAACAACAACAACAACAACAACAACAACAACAACAACAACAACAACAACAACAACAACAACAACAACAACAACAACAACAACAACAACAACAACAACAACAACAACAACAACAACAACAACAACAACAACAACAACAACAACAACAACAACAACAACAACAACAATTTTATTGGACGCTGAGCGAGCGGGCTCTGCTCATTGCGGGCGAGCAGAAACTTCGGAAGCGTGCCATCCCCGAGTGTGCCGTGAGCCAGCGCCACCGGGTTAGCCACAAGCTAGCACCACTCCCTTAGGATCTGACCTGCCGACATTCTTATAGAGGTTACGCGGTCTTCGCCCGGCGGCCTTGTAAAGAAAAAGAAACAGACTGGCGCTTTGCGCGAGGGGACTGCCCATGCGAGAATCGCAGGTACCTCCTTCATCCGTTTCTGAGAACTACGACCGAAGTCAGGGCCCGAGGCCTCGCGTAAAACAAGCCAAAACGAACTGACCAAACAAAACCAACAGAGAAGACCGCGCAACCCCTATAGGATCCTCAGTGAAGGAAAAAGAGGAGCCGATGCAACAAACGTTAAAAGAGAAAAGGCCTAAGTCAAGAAGAGCAGCGCTGCAGACTGTACACAGCAGCAACAGCTCTTGGGCACCAGCCTCTATGGGGTAGGCCACAAGAAGTTGACTTCAGTTACAAAGGCGTTGCCCGTTTTTGCGCGAGCGATGCCCGAAACTCCTAACGTGACAGCCCGAGTCACAAAGTCGTCGTCATGTAGCCTCCGTCACCCTCAGTGTGAGTCATTGCTTCCAATACTCACGAACTGGCAGCCGGTGGGTCGTACTCAGAAGAGCCGTCTCCCAGAGTTCCCGTCTAGTGGCGTCCCACACTAGGTAACTCCCGACTACCAGCGATGGGCCGTAAGGATAATTCGTCGTCAAGCAAAAACACGTGGCCCGTCACTCCTAGCACTGCCTGACCCCGTCGGTAACAGGACAGTAACGAACACACCTGGGAGGGTCGTAGCCGTAGCCCGACACCCATAGCACAGCAAGCGCGTCCGCTTAACGACTGTACCCAGATGTGACGTGGAGCCGTACCAGGTAGACACCGTGCTGGAACTGAAGACGTTGGCCAACTCTGCTGAACCTGGTCCCCAGTGTCCCAATCTGCGCCTTGTCTTGTAGACAAGTCTGGCCCGGCGGCCCCCGAGAGGCCTCCCCCACCAGAGAGGATAGCCCCTCTAGGCCCACAAGGGCACCCCATAGCAAGAGGAGTCCCTGAAATGCCCGTCGGGGCCAGCATTGGGAGGATGCTGACGCGTTGTGAGTCACCACGTTGCGCCTAGCCTGTCCTGAGTCTGACTTGCTCGCAGGCGCTGGCGGCTGAACAGAAGTGAAGCGCAGAAAACACTCAACCGTGACGAAGAGCTCTCGATCGCACTGGCTTCGTAGCAGCCGGTGGCAGTCCACTGTGCCGTTGAAGAAAAAACTAGTGCTCGAAGAAGACTGCATGAGAATACCAGACGATCCGTGTCCTTCTTGCGGAGGTGTACCAGTTAAAGCGCAAAACCAGAGCGCCAGCAAAACTGCGCAGGAGAGACCTTGAGCTGTACCTGGGTGTCTTGTCGTGTAGCTGGAAAGTCGAAGAGAGGAGCGGAACGAGGCCTCAACTCGAAAGCTTCCTTCAGGATACCCAGGTGCAGAAGATGGCCAACCCATGACTGGGGCCGCCCCTTGAATGGCTTGGTGCGGCAGGTCCTTTTGTAAATGTAAAAGCATCGGCAGGAGAAAAGCACTGAGGCACAGTCGACGCGCCTTCCGCTAGTTTCGCCGGAAAGAGAAAACTCGATCCGACTCCCTTCACCCCGCGGAAAGGTGATAACCCTACCGCTTACCTCTTGCCAATGTTGTGTAACTGCAGACAGAGGCCCGGGAATTGGGACCCGGTAGATCACAGCGACACGTGGCTCCAGGGATGGCTATGGCTCAATAAGAGGACGGTCCCTTAAGCTTCGCAGAAGGGGGACGTTGCGAGCCTCTAGCGTTGGTACCCAGAGCCTTGTTAGCAAAGCTACACAGCCTGCTGTGATCCATAGCGGCTACAACAACAACAACACCAACAACACCACCACCACCACCACCACCACCAACAACAACAACAACAACAACAACAACAACAACAACAACAACAGCACCAGCACCAGCACCAGCACCAGCACCAGCACCAGCACCAGCACCAGCACCAGCACCAACAACAACAACAGCAACAACAGCAGCTGCAGCAACAACAACAACAATAAGAATAAGAGGGCAGCGCCGGATTCTTCGGCCCGTGGTCAGCCCAACACCCTCCCCTCCCCCAGTTTCGCTACGTTCCCGAACTACTCTTTTGAACTATTCTTTTGGTGTCGGTTTCGTTGCACCTAACGATGGTCCCTTCCATCGAAGCCACCTTCTGCAAATGAGGTTCGTCTGCATGTTGCTCACGGTTAGAGATCATGTGGAGGGCAACCTCTTGATGTGATTGCAACGCCTGTTTATGTGTCACCCAGCATTTCCTTCAAGATCCTGGATTGCCACACGCACCTCCCGAACTTCGAGCGTTGACGACATGTGAGAAGCATACATATTGCACCCCTGGCACACTCGCGCATCACAATGGAGTTGCGGGCTTGGAATATGAGGACCGGGCTCGACTGGGGGAATAGCTATTGCCTCGCCTGCCCTCCTCGGCTACCCTGGGGAGGGAGCTGACAAGGAGGGCAACTTCCGATCTCTTGTATGCTGTCAACGACTGTATCCAAGAATACCCAGCAGTCGTCCGAAGGAATGTCATCAACTCAGGTCACATAATACACTGATTGCAATGTCCACTGAAAACAACAGTCCGTAGGCTGCACGGCTGATAGCCGATGGCCGAGGAATGCACCAGGTACCACACCACTTGCGTGCCCTGAAGTGGTGTAGGGATGCTGTACCATGGCAGTCTGACTTTTGCCCCTGCTGCAGACAGCATTCGCTCCTACACGTGTAAACTACATGCAGAGAATAAGTACCAGCAGTGATCACCCGCTGTTCGGCTTCCAAAGCTATGGGATTTTACTCTCAGCCCTTACGCCAAGATCATAAATGCTGCAAGAGGCCGGTTGTCTGGCTTGGTGGCGGTCCTCCCAAACGCGAAAGGCGTTCGCGCGATACGTCATTGCAGACGCGTTGTGAAAGATGCCTCGGACGGAGGATGCCGGAAGTCAGTACAGGTTATTGCAAGCATTTGCATTCTTTAACTAGCGTGTTCGTGTCCATCAGCTTACACTTGTCTTGTTTTTGGAGCTGCACACAGTTACGGACGTTGATATAGGTCTTTTCAGCAGAAGGGCGCCGTGCAAGATCAGATTCTGACCGTGTGAGGCTGGGGGTGACATTCAACACGAATTTAACGGCTAAGCCCTAGAGTTTGACGGGCGTAGTCTGTATACGGCTTACAAGGCCTCCAAACCTCGAAGCCCGAAAGCCTAGACACTGCACCCGAACGTTTGCATCGCGCGCCAACCTCCCCCAATTTTACGTCGACCCTACATCCTAAAACCGAAAAATCCTAAATGGGCATTGCTTGACAGCCTCCATGCAGTCACGAGTTAGGCTGCTTGGTCCCTATAGTTTGTTTTTTCGACAGACAGCACTGCTAAACTTGTTGCTGGCCCGCCTGACGACTGGTCACAAAGCATCCTCAACGTACAAGTGCTAACGTGCAAGCCGGAATTAAAGACAAAACCCTGTGTCTAGAGGCCCTGTGTCTAGAGGCAAACCTCACTGTGTAAAAAGGCCTATCAAGACACTTCCAGCCGCCCCCATAAAGCCCGTTAAACCGTCAGGAAGCCTGACAGGAGCTACTATAGGCCGCTGAGGATCCTAAAGAATGTCGGCCGGCACTTGTGATGCTGCCGAGCCGTACGGAATCACCCAAGCTCCTGAACGGCTGAAGGGTTCTGTAATTTTCCACAACGACTTTATTTGGGTGCAGGGCAGGATGTATCGTCTCGGGGTATACGCGTCTGTGTGTTTAGTGTTTACGGCTCGGGGCTAATGCAACTCTCAAATACCTCGGCCCAAGGCGCAGGGTCGGGTGGCATAGTTCGCAAAACTGTGTGAACGGGGGTTGAAACAATGAAGCCCCGGAAAGTTGGCGCACTAGTGTCATCATAAACTATATACTGAAATTAAAATATTGAAAACCCCAGGACTGAGCATGCCCAGTCATGCTCCTGTGCTACTTTAGAGCTTACGGTCGTCACATGCCCTGCGGGCTTGAAAATGGTTTCGGGTTTAAACGTAGGGCTTCAGATTAAACTTCTAGGCTTTGAACGCGAAGCTGAGCATAGTGAATGAATCAGGATTGCGTTTTTGGCCTTGGGGTTCGGCACGGATTTGAGTGCCTCCAGATTTGTAGGGCTGGTTTCATGATACCGGGCATATGTTTTAAAACTCACACGGAACTTCTAAATCTGCTGCCTGAACTCGTACAAGGAGCAAACAACGCAAACGTATGACATGCATCCGACAGCCGAAGCGCATAAGAAAACCTATAATGGCCGATTGAAAACCCGAAACCCTAAACACGCGCAACCTGAACACCAAGACGTGAAAAACCCGATTAAACCTTTGACATATAGAGCCGACACCCAGAACATACGCAGCCCAGCACCCTAAACTGATAGAGCCCAACAGTAAATCTACACGTATGTGACCTGAAACCTAAACGTATCCACCTTAACACCACCGTCGGTCGACGGTCCCTCAAAACTTACGTATGCTGATTTGTTTGCTAATTAGCAATCTAGGAGTTGGGGCTCAGGGTTCGTGTTGGGAGTTTCAAGGTTTGGAGCTTCAGGGTTCCGGGTGCTAGGGCTTGGGAACAAAATAGTTTGGGTTTATGTAGGATGTAGGGTTGACAGAACTGAATAAGGTTGCGGTATCGTTGCAGGAGGAGGAAACGGGATGATTCAGGTGCTTGCTTCGTGGTGTGCTTCTTACTGAAAGGTACAAACGTAGGTACTTCCCTAAGGCTGAGCCCCTAAATCCTGCACCGTCAGGCAGTGAAAGGTGTAGAGAACCCTTATAAAGCTCTTCAAGGACCCTGTGAACCCTGACAAGATGGAGACATTCGCACTTCAAACATGATTTTGAAGCATGATAAAGTGCAACTGTTTCGTACGGGCGATGACAAGAATTGTACTTGCATCTCATGGGAGACAAACTCTTTACATATCATATAAAACGTACCATATACAACCACTTACGAGCCCCATCAGGAGGCCCTGTCCGCCCTCGACTCACAAGACACGTACTAGGGAGCGCCATGATAAGCCCCTTCAACAGAGGGGTCCTTAATCAGTACAGTAGTCTACATTAGTCGCCGCGAGCTCCCGCAAGGGAGACCCCACGAGTTCAGATGCTCCTGGTGACCGGCCCACAGTTGTTCCTGAGACGCAGCAGCGCTGTACAAGCGCTGTACTTGGTTCTTGTTATGGACCCTTGTTAAGTGAATGTCAAAAGCGATCTATACGCACTTGTAGGAAATCCGTAAGTGTTGTACAAGGTTTGAGGAACGCAGCTTCGGTCAGAAAGGCAAAGGGGTACATAGCAAATGCTATGGCTTCCTGGTCTGACTTACAATGGGTTGTTCGGCACAACCGCAGTTGAGGGCGATTGGGCTTTGCTGAACTTCAGGCAACTATGGGGTCTCGGTTTTGGCGTGGTGCAAGTCTAAGGTTTGTCACCGCCTACGACTACGGGTTCATGTATCAGCGGTGTGTCCAGCGACTACTACGGCTTTTCTGATGAAGCTGCAGGCTTTGACGTTGATCTTCGGCCCAGCAACACTGGGTAAGTGCTCTGTGGCAGGGTTGTTGCTCGTTTCTTATGCGACACCCACAACCGCGAAATGTTGCTTGCTGCAGGAATGGAGGCAAGCACTTCTGCACCGTAGGGCGGCTCTGATTTCCTGCCCTGGAGTCCATGCACACGTCAGTCGCGGGTGCTGACAAGTTCTTGAAGTCATCGCAGACTTTGCACGAGCAGTCACTACTCGGCGTGCGAAGCGAAGCTTCCGATTGGCTGCGTGGCGCCATGGCTAACGTCTTGAAATGCTGCTTCGGTTCATGAGCCTCCCCAGCACTCAGCATCGAAACTCTGATACCATGAGGCCCTAAGCCCCTCCCTGAACCACTGAAGCCCTGAAGCCTCCGAACCCTCAACCCTAATTGCTAGGCCCCCATTCCCACACCGAAGCCTGACTGCTGAATTGCGAACCGCTGAAGCCCTAGCCCTAGTCCTACAATGACCTACACTTGGTAAATCATTTACTGTATCCGCTCATCCACATGCGCTCTTCACTGAGTGCAACTTCTCCAAGTCATTCATTTTCTCTGTATTCGGTAGCTCGCAGTTGCCAGAGAACCCCTCCCCCCCCAACCGCCCCCGCTTCGGGTTGCCCCCCATCGAATCGAATAGGGTCACCACCCTGAACTCCGGATATCAAAGAACAAGACCTCACTTGCAACGACTGGGGATTTGAAGCCCAAACGCCCGAAACGAATCACCTGGGCAAGCCGCATTCGCGAGGAAGCGGACGGAGGCAGCACGAAAAGACATCTTGGCTCTATGTGGTGTCTATTTTCTTGAAGGGTGCTCCTTCATATAAGTCTCCAAAAACAAGGAAGTATGTCAGCAAGCATATACGCACGACTAATGCTCCTGTCATGAATATGATTACTATTGCTGTTCTTCGTGCTGATCTTGCCAATATCTTGATCTGACCGTTACACCCTCCAGCCTAAGCCCCAAATAAAAGCGTAACTTTATATACTCGCAGTCCCTTTCGCTACACCCTCTAGACCCTGAAGCTCCCTTGGCTAACTGTTGCTGTCAAAGGCTTCTCCAGATTTCTGGGGGCTTTCGCGGGCTTTTCGGGGCTTTGGGGTTTGGGGTTTGTACAAAGTACAGAGGTCTTGACAGGACTTATGGTAGGAGTTTTCCCAATACACTAAACCTTTGTTTGTCAGCTTTACACTTTACAACTCAACATCGCCATATAAAGCGCTACAGTTTGTGTTGTCTCTGTTGATAGCCCCACTTGCAGCACAGGGACATTGACCAAAGCAGCGCCATGTCGGCATCAAGAAGAGCGGTGCAATCACTACGGTCTAAGCCGAATTGCAACCCAAAGGGTGCCTTTTTTAGTCTAGCTACACATGTATATACGGTCTTCAATGCAGAGTAGACTGATGTGAAAACCATAGAAGCCCTAAACTCCTAAACCCTACCGTGCCCGGGTTTTGAGCAATGAACTCTGGACCTGATATTCACAAACCCTTGACCAATCTAGGATATTGCGTACACAAGCTAAATTTGGAGTTTGACAGCAACGACTGCCTTTTAGAGCTAGCGGACGGGTTTCTTGTGCTGCTGCGCTGGCGGACTTTGCAGTTCAAGAACCAAGTTTAAGCAAATGGCAGGATGGGATTCAGTAAACCAAGATGGAATAACAAAGCAGGGATTGAGTAAGATGAGTACCCTATGATATATATATATATATATATATGCTCACCCCCCCCCCCCATGACAGACCGTCGTGGGGAAGGGGAAGGGTGGCGTGCGTCCCCAGGCAGGATCTGTCAACGGATAGGCGACAGACACGTCTCCCAAACTCAATTCCAAAATGTTCTTTTAGATGGTCTGCAATTTTTGGAAATTTCTTCACACGCATGCAGCGCTCCTAGTCCCAATCTTAATCTCAATTCTGCTCTTCGTACCACTATTACTGTTTGTAGATCTTAATTCTTGTATCAGTGTTAGCATTAGTATTAGTTTTGTGGTAGTATTGATATTAGGATGTTTAGTATTAGTAATAGTATTCGAATTAGTATTACTCTTAGTATTAGCATTAAGTATGTAAACTGATGTTAATAGTAGTGGTCGTCGTACTAGCAATAGTTGTCGCACAGTAGTAGTAGTGGTAGCATTAGTATTAGTATTAGTATGAGTATTAGTATTAGTGACTAGTATGAGTAACAGTATTAGTTTTAGTATTAAGTATGTGTAGTAGTAGTAGTAGTAGTAGTAGTAGTAGTAGTAGTAGTAGTAGTCGTAGTAGTAGCAGTAGTAGTAGCAGCATTAGTGGTGACATTAGTATTGGTATGAGTATGAGTATTAGAATTAGTAGCTAGTATTAGTACTAGTATTAGTGTTAGGATTAATATGTATTGTTCTTGGTTCTATTCTTAGTACTGCTGTCATTGTTCGTAGTAGTCCTAATCCTGGTATCAGTGTTCATATGAGTAATAGTTTTGTGGTAGTAGTGATATTAGGATGGGTATTGCTTTAGTACTAGTATTGGTATTGGTATTTAGTATTAGTATTAGCATCAGTATTAGTATTAGTATTGAATAAAAGTTTACATATCAATAATAGTAAATATGAACTCGTGATTATGTTCGCGCTGGTGTTAGTGCCAGTGTCGATGTCAATGTCAGTAATGGTACTCGTGTTAGTATTAGTATCAGTCTGAATGCTGGTTTTAGTATCTGTTTATTATTCACAGAAGTGCTGGTATTAGTATCAGTATTAGAAATAGTTTTGATATGTGAATATACTGATTGGTTCGTACATTTTGAGCTTAATATAATACAGTAATGTATTCGAACAATAGTATATTTGCATAGTTGAAGATTGCGCGAATATATTAGTACGTTGGTGCATGAGTACATTAGTATATTGCTGTATCATGATATTCGTATGTTAACGTAGTAGTATATTAGTATATTATTATAGTGGTCTATGACTACATTTACTATATTCGTATTTTACCTTGCGTGGGGGATTGATCTCGACTAGGTTGCTGCTCTCCCCACCAGAGCTGTAATGAATGTAGGTGTGGTTGGCTTGCACTCTCCACAGACTGGACCCTGTCTCTCTTACACTTCCACGCGTGCAATCCTATGCAGGCAGAACCGGCGGCCGTTCCTTTTGCACTCACTGCCGGCGGCGGTTCGTCTGTGCAACGGGATAGCTCTGATTGTTCAGGATAGAAGACGCTTATAGCACTTAGCTATGGGCATTGACTTGAGCCAAACGTTGCGTTGGCGGTCACATAGAAAGGTAAAGATGAGGGACGCGTAGCGTGCCCCCTTAGAGTCGAGGGACGCGTAGCGTGCCCCCTCCTCTTGCACTTTACACAGTCTTGCTCACAGCTCTTAAAGTGACACCTTAGAACTTGACAAGGCATCGCAGTCCGTTCGCACCCCCCATGAGTTGCGTCTCCGACGCTGCTCACCCGGAAGATGGCACGATAGGACAACAGAAAATGTTCCGCCGCAACGTTGACATTGAAAATCAGAGCTTTGCATCCCAATTAAAAACGTTGTGACACTCATCTACGTCAGTAACGATCCCCTGAAATGGCAAACGAATCAGGCGTCACCGAAGAAAGAAGCATTCGCGAGGGCATTCCATGGGCGAAGCTCAGAGGTCACGAACTGATAGGCGAGGAAGACCAAGCGTTGATTCATCTCCATCTTCGCGTGGTCGCAGGATCGCGGTCCCAGGGCCGGAGGTTTTCCTCTGGATGCTGTTCCCTTTGCTTTCCTTTGTCCTTGCCTTTGTTTCGGCCTTTGCCGGCTGTGTAGTCATAGTAGGTGTTGGCGTTCCAGCCTCCATGCTGTTCACCTCCGGCTCTCTCACGCCCCTTTGAAGGTCCCTTGGCCGAAGAAGCGCTTGCACGTTCCTCCGTAGTGACAGGCGTGTCCAGGATGGAAGTACCACCTGGAGGGAGATAGTCAGCGGCCGAAATGTGGTGTAGGGCTTCAGTACGCTTGGTCGTCGGGTTTTGCTGTCTCTCAGCCTTGGATCTGTTCAATCTGTCCATGAAATGCGCAGGCATTTGCACATTTTGGTCCACCAGCAATCCGATGGTCTGGACTGAATGATCGGAATGAGTCAGCAGGATACCGACGGGGTCGATGTACAAGAAGTCCACCGGTCCAGTTGGTGTTGGTCGTAGCACTGAGAATTGTTGGTGTCCCGTCACCATCGGAATCACCTCGCACAGGACGTTCAGGCAACAAAAGTGCATAGCCTTCACATCTTCATCCCTGTTGCTCTTCAAGTACGTAGTAGGGTTGAAGTTGTCCCTGCCAATTCCCATCATGTTGGCTCCCCGTGTAAGCAACGAAAGCATCTGATTCGTCCGGAAGCGCTTCAAAGTGTAAGTCCCGTTGGGATCATACTGCTTGAGGTTCTCAGGCTCCTTGGCAAAGCGAATGATCTCCTCATCAGTCACATCCTTGCTCACACCCGTTTCCCTATCCACTGCCGCCAAAGATCCCCACTTTCCGAGCACATCATAGCGTTGGCCAAGCGCGAAACTCTCCTTCATCTGGAACAACGGCATAGTCGCCCACTTTGCGAACCCTGACCAAGCTTTGTAGATGGATCTGCATACCACGTATGCCATATACGAAAGAGCGGTCATGTTGGCGTCAATGCAATGGGCATTTCGCTTTCCAGAATAGTAGGATGGCTGCATGGCGGTACGTGCAAGTTGTAGCTCAGGATCGATGTTCAAAGGCTGGCCGGTAATGAAGACGGGACGACGTTCCTGTGCAACTGCATCTGGTACTGCGTCATCAAGGTCCTCTCCTGGCTCTATGTCCATTTCTTCATCAGGTTCCTGTTCTGGATCGTCCTCTGCGATGACAGATGGCTCTGGGATTTCCTCAGGTTCCGCAACGGTCTCTACCTCCATGGCTTCCTGCTCCTCTTCGGGCGCCTCAGGCACTGCTGCTGCTGCGGCTTCCATTGTCTGAGCGATGAAGTCACTGGGGATCTCCGTAGGAGTCTCCCGTTGTGGAGAACCTTGGTAATATCCGCTCGAAACGAACTGTGACCAGCAAGACGTGCATCGGGAGAAACATGCTGGAACGATGTTGTAGCATGCCGGGCACACCCTCATTCTCCTTCCATCCTCGTCTCTGCGTAGGTCTTCGGGTCGCCAATTCTTGATGACAAACTTGATCCCTTTGTCCATGTAGTGATGCCGAACCGTGTTCTCCCTGTGGGGCTCCAGGACAGTCGTAAGGTCTCGGATGATCTGCTCCTTGCTGGTGTCGTGGGGTCCAGGAGGCATTTCGCAAAGCAATTCCATGATCTTGCTCGGCGTTCGGTATCTCTCGAACTCAGGGAGCAATGGTGATGCATTGTAGTCCAACACCAGCTCTTTCTCCAGTCGTTCATCGTAGATCTTTTCCACCAGAGCGAAAGAGTGTGTATCTTGAGGATCCGGGACGCAAAACCATACCTCCTTGACGAAATGGAACGGTATCGTCCGGCCAACGATCATGATGCCGCTGTCTGTGATACGTCCATCTTCTCGTGCAAGGGCCTGCGATGGGACATGGAGGACCGCCAGTGGCATGTGCTTGGCATCTCGTCCATGCACCCGCATCTTGGTCGTCGCGTTCCGGTGATCGAACGGTGCAAACACCCCCCAATAGCTGTGGAGTCTGCCGCCTTGGTTGCCTCGAAATTGGCGCCTGTGGTCGAAGTCCCCGTCGGGGTCCTCCGAACCAGGCATGATGCCTTGCGTGACAATGGAATCCAAGTTGCGACATGCTGTGGCGTGGAACGCTCCTCCGAGACGTTGCAAGAGGGTCATGGATGGAGATATTGCGAACCTGTTCTTGTCCAACTGAAGCAAATTGTTCTGGGGATCCGAGTGTGCAGAGTGACCACTTGTAGCCCGAACTGCCCATGGCTTCACCCAGCCGTTGCAAACGTTCAGGTACCTCTGGCTGTGCCGGCAATGATCATTGTTCTGGATCTCCGCGATCTGGTCAGGAACCGATACCAACATGTTCGAACCTGCTGATCCAAGAGTTTCCGTGCCGGGGTCCTTCACTCTCACTCCCAGGAACTGCAACCGAATCTTGGCCTTATGGCGTTTCGTGGCTGCGAGCATGTTCCCTTGGAACAATAGCTGAAGTCTTTCATTGTACACTCTCTTCTTCTGTTGCTCATCGGTCCTTGAGACCGCTTCGGTGATGCGTCTGCTTTCATGGGTCCATAGTTGCTCATGCCTCACCAAGTCTTCGATCATCACCCACCCTCCTTCA